AATCAATGAGCTCTCAGCAACCTTACTAATGCTTGGTTTCACATACCTTCATTTCAGGTTGGTAAAATCTTTAGTCACTACTTCTGCTGGAATTAATAAACCATACTTTAGTGACTTTGCTTTAAAATCAGTGGAGTTACTTAAACTCACAAAAGTTGGAGCTGCTATCCAAATTTTCTTCGATCAAATTCTACAGAATAAGTCCAGGAATCTTTATTTTTAACAAGCATTCTTTATGATTATGTTAATAAGACAGATTTGTAAACCAATTTGGAAAGGTTCGTGACTCAGATTGACCTAAAAATTAAATCTCTAACTCAGACTTTTCCTTTGTAGTGTGTCCTACTTTTGAATGATTAATCTGTTAGAATCATTACCCCCATCCCGAGGGGATAGTTTCCTACAGTATTAGACATTTTTCTACTTTACTATTCTTTGGAAGATGACCTAATGTTTGGTATGGGCAGGTGGTAAAAAAAAAGATAAACATCCAACTTCTGATTTCTTGATCCATAATTTGGATTTTGGGTCAAAGATCTATACTTGAAAGCAGAATAATCTACAGTCACCATGTTTTATACACTCACCTGCTAGGGGATAATGATTCATACAGATATCACTTATATAAAAGGTGATGCTAACATTTCAAAATGTTTCAGTATACATGTTGCTGAAGCAAGCCCTTTACAATGTTTCAAAAGGACAAGGTGAACAGCTTTCTCTGTTTCTTGCTTGGATCTGATAAATGACCCTTAAAATGAAAAATAAAATACAATCTTTAAAATCGAGGAAATCTCAATTTGAAAAAAAAATGAGTGTGTGTGTGAGCGTTTTCTGAGTAATAGAAACAGGAAGGCAAGTGGTAGTGTTCATTTTGAATATAATGTGTAAGCAATATTTTGCCCACGGATAGAAGTTTAACCTTTCTTTCAATATTGATATTGATGAGAGTTCACATTTATTTATGTAACTATTTTGTTACTGGGATGATGCTAGCCTTCTAGTTACATGTTAAATTTTTGAAACATTTTATAGCAAACATTAGGTATTACTCTCTGTGCGGCACTGTTAAGATTAAAAATAAATAATACAAGTCAATTTCCTCCACACCTCTATTTCCAGAAAAGATTTCTGCTCTAGAAACACAGTGATATTCTTTTCCCCTTTTCATATATTGTTTATCTATCATATCCATGACTCTTTTATCTATTAAAGGTGGTACTGAGAGA